CTGTTGCATTTATTCCTATATTGGAGTACAACAAAGAGAATAATAATGTATTTTTGGTATTACAATTATAAAAAGAAAGGTCCAAAGATTTATAAGAAGAAATTAAATTAGAATAATCATCAAGGCTAAGACCAGTTAAAAATAAGACTTCAAAGACTGCACAGAGTTTCCAAAGGATTACCAAGTAGGTAAAAAGTATAACTGGAACAAATCTGTTACTGTGTAACGATATTGAGAGATAGTCCATTGCATCTGAAGTCTGTTCAAGTAGTTTTAATTATGACCATAATTAACTAAACGTAAAGAAGTATTTTCAAATCATCTAAAAATGACAATCTATAAAATTTCGCTAGAATATTATTAGTACAAAAATGAAACAGAAGGGCTCCAACATAAGAGGTTCAATTATCCTGAGAACACTAAGGGAGGAAGGTGTGAACGTTTTGTAACAGTAATTTCAGAAATGTTTCACGTAAGACGCTTACACCACGAGGGTAGCGAGCTCATTGACGGTAGCTGTGCACGCTGTTGTATCGCTGCAATGGCAAGGTGCTCGTGACGTATCACTTTAACACAAAGTTTACGCGTACAGCGTAACCCGCATTCCCCGAATTCCAAGAATATTCCGCTTTGCGATCCCGACCGTCTGACTATACGCGGGTATTACTACTTGCACAACTGCTAAGTTAGGACGTCGTCGTCTGCCTTCAGGAGAGCAGCGACGATCCATTTACCGCGCGATCATTTTATTTATTTCGAATGAAATGCCAAGTGGAATTACAAAATAAAACCGGAATCATTAAAGTGTAGATATTTATCTGGAGTAACACGAATCCATTCGTTGTAAGTGCCACTTGCTGGGGAACTTCAATGGAATTTAGAAAGCTTATCGATATCGCCTTCCCGCAATTGTTATCTCCGATTCCTGTGGGACTCCGAGCCACCGGAAGAGTCATCGATTAAAATTTCCTGGCCGCGTCGATGTTCGCCGACGCTTTAGTCAAATGGCTCTCGACAGGAAAGGAACGAACGAGAGTGGCGGCTAGGAGAGGAGGTAAAAGGGGAAAGAGAAAAAGTGCATAGTGGGTGGAAAGGGAGCTTTTTAACTCGAGAAGGGGATACTGGAAAGATACTCACCTATCCTAATGATATCAGGAAGAGCCGTGGCGTGGGCGGCGAGGAGCGCCAGCAGGAGCCACCTCGCAGCCATTTCCGGTTCCGGTCCGCCCCACCGTTTCTCTCCCCGACGCCTCCGACGCCACCGCCTCCCCCCGCGGCCCCAACGGGAGCCTGCGCCTCCCTTCTGCCGTAGGGAGTCACACCGCTGGAAAACAAGATGGGATGGCGAGTTCATTAAAATGCACCACGTTAACCTTCGCGTCCGGCTCCGAGATGTATACATATACCAAGGCAACAGGGTTCCGTAACGACTCGCCGTAGAACGGATTAGAAGCGAACGTTCTCTCACGTCTGTTATCATCGAAAGCATGGTAACAGATAATGAGATAATGCCGTCATCCGAAATAGTGGAATTAAACTCACACCAGCAACTACAGTTTCTAATCGTTCCACGACAG